CCAGAAGTTAAGACCAGCCTGGGCAACACAGCATGACCCTGTCTCTATAAAGAAAAAAAAAAGAAAATAAATGATTATTCCACTACATGTAGCAGTAACTGAAGAAGTGAATAAATGATGATTCCACTATATATAACAATAACTGTGTTCAAAACAGAGTCCTTGAACACACAGGTGCTCTCTGTCCCAGTGCCTTGGCACCTGCTATTGCCTCTGCCTATCCGTGCTTTTCCACAAGCTTTCATAGAACCTGTTCCAGTTTTCTCCAGGACCCCCACGCTGTTACATTTTTGTGTCACTGATTACCTCCTGGCACCATATGTGTTTATTGTTTGCTTGCATATTGCTTCTCTCCCTTCACCCCACTGGGAGCTTCATAAGGGACATGAATAATATAAGTATTACTACAGATAATGCAAGGAATAGGATACTCATGAGCTCCACGAGTCTTTGCATGTTTATTCACTGCTATAATTCTAGAGCTTAGCACACAATAGGTACTCAATAAATATTTGTGAATGGATAAGTGAATTAATGAATTAGATGACTACTACTAGGCCTGGTTTGTAGGTCATGCTCAATAAATACTGACTGCAAATTTTTTCAGTGCAGAAACCAGAAGTTCTGGAAAGCGGCACAGAATGAGGTTGAAAACCAAAGGTTCTTGGTGGGAGGATTTTTTTTTTTTCTTAATATTTAGGATGATGCATGTCACTGAAATTCACCATGGATCAAGCTTGGGCACAGTGCCTGGGATATAAGGAGAGCAGTAAAGATTAAAAAAAAAAAAAAAAAAGAAGAAAGGAAAGGAAAATAGCCTCTATTGGCTGTTTAAAGTAAGGAGAGTTGACTTAGGTCAAAAGAAAAGGAAAATGTCCTGGGAATAAAAGTTAAGTATTGTAAGATGCCATTAAAGGGAGTTTGTGGAATCTCCTTTTCTGGAAATGTTTAAAAACAAGATAGATCTTCATCTCTTAGAAGTGTTGAAGTTCAGTCCTGCCCAGAGGCAGGAAGATTAACTGGATTACGCTTGTGTGGTCGGTCTCTAGAGTCATTGGAAGAGCCCTTGAATGCAGTAAATATTCCACATTCTCTTGGCTGAAACTATTGTTTCATAACTGTTCATTTGAAACTTGGCTGTTATAAAACCAGAGTGAATGTTTAACAAAATTGAATTTGGATCTGGGGTTGATGATGTAAGTTGAGTACATCATATATACCTAAATCAGTTTTAAAAGCATTAAAATAAAGTATATATAGTGCCGAAACTATTCAGAACATAACTTAGTCTTTTTTTTTTTTTTGGCAAGAGAGAGCATTGCGTACAATTTATTAGTCTTTTATAATATACAAAAGTGCCTGCTTCCCTGCAAGATCTTAATGCCATTAATCATTCAATAAGTAATTATAAAGTGACTACTATAAACATTGCAGGCTTCAAAGATGAATTCGATATGGATCCTGCTTTCAGGGAACTTAGTCTACAAGTGGACATAAAATATATATATATAGGCCGGGCACAGTGGCTTATGCCTGTAATCCTAGCACTTTGGGAAGCCAAGGTGGGAGGATTGCTTGAACCCAAGAGTTTGATACCAGCCAGGGCAACATGGCGAAGCCCCATCTCTACAAAAAACACAAAAATTAGTTGGGCGTGGTGGCATGTGCCTGTGGTCCCAGCTACTCAGGAGGCTGAGGTGGTAGGATCAGTTGAGCTGATTGAGGCTACAGTGAGCCATGATAGTGCCAGTGCACTCCAGTCTGGGCAACAGAGGGAGACCCTGTCTCTGAATGAGTGAATGAGTGAATGAATGAATGAATGAATGCTATCTCTCACACACACACAGATCATATACATGATAGTGAAAAATAAAATGATTGAGATAGGAGCCATAAAAAAGAACTCAACAGTGTTGTAAGGTTTCAGAGAAAAAAAGATAATTCCTTTGGATTTAAACAAGAATGCTTCTGGGAGGAAAAAATATATCGAACTGGGCCTTAAGGGGTATGATGTATTTTGAAGGGTGGAAAAGAAGGAGAGAACAAGGACAGAGATGAAATTATAGTTAGTAATTCTGAGGTAAGGATAAGTTCCACTGGAGCAAGAGGAAGCTGGGGTTAATAGGCTGGGAGGGCCTTTTGTGGCTAGTCTCAAATGCCAGGCCAGAGAGCATGGATTCTGTATGCTCAGTGCTTAAGATCTCTTGAAAGTGATTAAGCATTAAAGGATCCGGCTCATGGGAGTTTTGTAATTTACTATTTGGACTGCAAGAGACAAAAGGCAATAGCAGTGAGCCCAGGAAGACAGCTACTGAGTCACCTGGGCTGCATTTCCTAAGGGATGTGCTGAGAAGTAGTAGTTCCAAGGCATGTTAATAGATGTTACTCCAAAAAGGGTCTCATCACCAGAATGAATTGGGGAAATAAAACGTTAAACAATCAAATAGACTTCTTTATGGACTTCTTTTCTGAAAAGTCTCTGGAAGACTTTTCAGAGTCTTTAATGTTGAGAATTAGCATTGAGAATCTCAAATAGGATAAAACGTGTACCACTTTCAACATGATTTGATCTTTTTTTATGGATTAGCTCATGAAACTCCGGTTCCTTAGAACACACTTTGGGAAACATTGCTCTACACATTTGATAATAACAGCTGGAACACAAGTGATGGTAATGGGCATGAAAAACAGCAGTTAGGGCTGGGTACGGTGGCTCGCGCCTGTAATCTCAGCACTTTGGGAGGCTGAGGCAGGCAGATCATTTGAGGTCAGGAGTTTGAGACCACCCTGGCCAACATGGAAGATGCTGTCTCTACTAAAAATACAAAAATTAGCTGGGCATAGTGGTGCACGCCTGTAGTCCCAGCTACTTGGGAGGCTGAGGCAGGAGAATCACTTGAACCCAGGAGGCGGAGGCTGCAGTGAGCTGAGATTGTGCCACTGCACTGCAGCCTGGATGATAGAGTGAGACTCTGTCTCAAAAAAAATAAAAAAAAAAAAAAAGGAAAAGAACAGCAGTTCAATGGGAGTCCTTACAGAGGAAGCACCAAGAAGCACCAGCCATTCCTGGTATATAGGAGACATTCAGTAGCTATACAGAAAGTTAATTCATGTAAGAGTGAATTAATGATTTAATACCAGTAGATGTTGGTGTGGATGCGGTGAACAGGGAACACTTTTACATAGCCGGTGGAAATGTAAACTAGTACAACCACTATGGAAAACAGTGTGGAGATTCCTTAAAGAACTAAAAGGAGAACTAACATTTGATCCAACAATCCCACTCCTGGGTATCTACCCAGAGGAAAATAAGTCATTATACGAAAAAGATACTTGCACATGCATGTTTATAGTGGCACAACTCACAATTGCAAAATCGTGGAACCAACCCAAATGCCGATCAGTCAACAAGTCGATAAAGGAACTGTGGTGTGTATGGGGGTGTGTATGTGTGTGTATATGTGTGTGTGTGTGTGTGTGTGTGTGTGTGTATGATGGAATACTACTTAGCCATAAAAAGGAATGAATTAACGGCATTTGTAGCGACCTGGATGAGACTGGAGACTATTGTTGTAAGTGAAGTAACTCAGGAATGGAAAAATCAAACATCGTATGTTCTCGCTATGAGGATGGAAAGGCATAAAAATGATACAGTGGACTTTGGGGATTTGAGGGGAAGAGTGGGAGAGGGGCGAGGGATAAAAGACTACAAATATGGTGCAGTGTATACTGCTCGGTTGATGGGTGCACCAAAGTCTCACAAATCACCACTAAAGAACTAATTCATGTAACCAAATACCACCTGTACCCCAATAACTTATGGAAAAAGAAAAAAAGAAAAAACATGAAATTAGCCAGGCATGGTGGCGAGCACCTGTAGTCCCAGCTACCCAGGAGGCTGAGGCAGGAGAATTACTTGAGCCCGGGAGACGGAGGTTGCAGTGATCCGAGATTGCACCACTGCACTCCAGCCTGGGCGACAAAGCAAGACTCCAACTCAAAAAAAATTAAAAATTAAAAAAAATGAAGAGATACTTTTACATATAAAAGACATGCCAAATACTAAACATGTAAAATTGCTTCACATCTTTACTTTTCAAGGAAATGCATATTAAAAATACAGTAAGAACCCCCACATACACACACCCCCCCCAAAAAAAAACATGCTTTGCTGGAGATTGCATGCTGAGACAAAAGGGGAAAGGAGTGCAGGATAGGAATATGGAGAGTTTTGAGCTCCAGTATGCTAGAGATGGTATCATGGAAAGCTAGGAGAAGGAACTGCTTTATATGAAAGTTGAGTATTACTTGAGAAGCTGAGGGAGATGGACCTGGAAGGGTCAGTGGATGCTGAAACCATGGACTTGCGAGAAAAGATGTTGTTTTTGCTTTTTGTTTTTTCTCATCAGATGTATTGTGGAAAAAAATATCTGGTTAAAGTGTCTGGTTATTTGAATTCTAGATAAATAGCAATTTTCATGGACAACTTATTCTAATACAGAAAGCTAACCATATATTTAGTCTAAAAGAAGTATCATAGGGCCAGGCGCGATGGCTCACACCTGTAATCCCAGTACATTTTGGGAGGCAGAAGAGAGAGGATCACTTGAGGCCAGGAGTTTGAGACCAGCCTGAGCAATAGGGCAAGACCTCCTGTCTGCAACAATTTTTTTTTTAATTGCTCGGTATGGTGGCGTGTACCAGTGGTCCTAGCTACTCAGGAGGCTGAGGCAGGAGGATCCCTTGAGCCCAGGAGTTTGAGGCTGCAGTGAGCTGTGATAGTTGCAGCTGCACTCCAGCCTGGGTGACCCTGTCCCCCAAAAAGGAGGAAAATAAGAAATTTTATGGTTAACAAAAGCACCAAACTTGTAGTGATTTTTTTCAATCAGGCAGTAGTGGCCATCCTTCTCATCTTCACCAGTGATTTTTTTTTTTCCAGTCTGATTTACTCATAAGAAGTTAATTAATCTTTAAGCTTAATATTTTGTTCTTTCATTCAGGTATTTGCCTTTGATTATTGCTTTTGGTCCATGGATGAATCTAACACTACAAAATATGCTGGTAAGTTTTCTCCCTCCACACCTGACAGTTGGGCTTCTGGCCTCTTCTTCCATTGAGTTTATTGTCTTTAATTCCTCTGAAGTTTTACTTTTCGTATGTAATTCACACCTATGCTTTCCAATTATACCACATGGGTTTTGAAGTCAATAAGATTTGGTTTCAGAATCTGTGTCTGCCACTTACTTGCAAAATCCTTGAACAGATTTTTATTAAGCTTCAAATTATTCACCTGTAATGGGGGGTATTGGTGTCTTCAAAGATTTTCTAAAGATTTGAGATAATGGGGGAACCACCTCAAGCCATAAATGGTAGCTTTTGTGAGAGTCATGTGAAAAAAGGTTTCATTTGCCATGCCTTTCCTTATCACTAACTTTCAGGGCATCGCCTGCTCTGTTTTGTGTGTGTGTGTGTGTGTGTGTGTGTGTGTTTGTTTGTTTTTGTTTTTGTTTTTTTTTGAGACGGAATTTCACTCTTGCGTTGGAACTGCGCGCAGGCTCGGTATGTGTCGATGTCTGCGGGCACAATCTCAGTGACTGACAACACCGCATCGCCCTTCCTGGGTTCAAGCTGTTTCTCCTGCCCTCAGGAGTATCCCAAGTTAGCTGGTTAACAGCGCATGTGCCCCACCATGTCCGGAGTCTAATTTTTATGTACTAGTTTACTTTTAGATACCCACTGCGTTTCCACCATATTACCCAGGATGGTTCTCGATCTCCCCTGCCCGGACCTCCCAGTGATCCCGCGCCCTGGGCCCCCTCCCCAACAAGATGCCTACGGGATTAGCAGGGCCATGAGTCCAATCCGCAGGCCTGCACCCGCTGTCGATCCTGTCTGCCAACGATGTTTTGCACGACAGAGGCTAGAAGAGGGTTGGACGCAGGGAGGTTTGATGTGGTTTCCAAAAAACTTCCACTCAAGGTCCTGAGCGTCCTCAGCTATCAGTGGGGTCCTGTAGGGCAGTGATAAAGTGCAGAGGGAAGCATATCAGCTGCTCGTTAAGCGAGTGGGCTGGGGGTGCCAGCGTAGCTTCATGGCCCTATAGGCAGAGATTTCCTTAGGAGCTGTGTGTGGTTGCTTGGGTTGAGGTGTTTGTTTGTTTGTGTTCAAAGAAGATGCTGGCTTCCTATCTAAAAGGTGTGTCAGGGAAGTTGCTCATCGTAGTGCCTGCTAGGAAAACCGGAGGCATTTCGATGTTCTCAAGTTTAGGCGAACCAATGAACCCTTTCCTCATGTGGCGGCCGCAAAGTGGTCCCCATGTGAAGACGTGAAGGGTGGGCATCTTGCGTTCCTGTGGAGTTCTTGTGGCTGACGCGTCCCTGACATGTATTCTGTGGGGTGCAAAGTCTTGACTCGGCAGGCTCGAGCACTCGAACCAAGGAGTGAGTTTGATTTTTTCGTATTATTTTTGAGGTCAGAACGGCTGGGCTTTTAGCTGGACTCGAGAGCCTCCTGTAAGCCCCGTGACCTCTCAGGGCTCGCAGTCTAATCACCTGTTGGACCTAGTCTTCAGCCGGTCTTCGGAGAACTCCCGTGACCTCACACTGTATGTATGCCAGCTCTCGAGGATTACGCTTTCGTGGTGCGGCCTCCGCAAGATGGGGCATCGCAGGTGCATTTTATCATAGTCCTTGTCCATTGTAGCCACTCCTTCTCTTGCGCGGGCTGTCTCGGCTCCTGTGTAGGTTTCTCTTTTTATAGTACCTTCCAGAGTTATTTCCACAAAACGACCAACTACTTGTTATGGGATGGTTTGTATCAAATAAGATGCATGTTGTTGGTCTATTTTGTAGGTGCCAGAAATTGTGGATTTTTTGAGCCACAGTGTGCACTTCCCTGGCCCCCAATGTAGCGAGCGATCTTTCTACAGGAGGTAGTCACAATTGCTTTAGTTCCAGAGGGAAGGCATTTGGTTTGAGGAGTTGGGTCCATGCGCGGGTGTAGATGTATTCAGTCTGTGTGGTTTAAAAATGTTATTTGTCGCAGGGGCATGGTGGCTCACATCTGTAATCCCAGCACTTTGGGAGGCCAAGGTGGGCAGATCACTTGAGGTCAGGAGTTCAAGACCAGCTTGAATAACATAGCAAAAGCCCATCTCTACTAAACATACAAAACTTGTCCAGGTGTGGTGGTAGGCGCCTGTAATCCCAGCCACTTGGGAGGCTGAGGCAGGAGAATGACTTGAGCCCGGGAGGCAGAGGTTGCAGTGAGCTGAGGTCTCACCATAGCCTAGGTGACAGAGTGAGACTCTGTCTCAAAAAAAAAAATTATTTTTGTAACTGGCAAATAAAAGTTGCATATATTTATCATATACAGCGTGATGTTTTGAAATATGTATATATTGTGGAATGGCTAAATTGAGCTAATTAACATGTGCTTTACGTCATGAACTTATCCTTTTTTGTGGTGAGAACACTTAAAGTCTACTCTGTTAGCAATTTTCAGGAATACAATACGTTGTTATTAACTATAGTTACCATGTTGTACAATAGATCTCATGAACTAAATATTTCATCCTAATGAGGGTTTTCTCCTTATTTCTACTTATAAGAGCATCAGCTGAATGACGTTCTCATTTAGTTAAAAACAAAAAAAAAAATGAAGGGAGGGTATTGGCCTTAAAAGATTTGGAAGTAAAAGCACGTGACTGACTTAAAGAGAATTAATGTTTTGTTTATTGATAGGTTTTTCCTTGCCATAAAAAGCAAACTTGAGAAATTATTTGCTAACATAATTTTTTCAAGAGTTAACAATTTTGAACTAGGAAAATTCCTTCAGTTGCTCACACTGGGTAAATTAGCCTTTCCAAATACCATTCCTGCAACTTGAGCAATATATTTTATTAAAGTGAATAAGTAGTTCATAATGTTGGTTGTAATTAATTTGTCTTTTTATTAGTCCTTTGGTACTTTATGTGATAAGTTTTCCAGAGTCTGGAACAGTCTTGACTTGTTAGCACTCCGTGTATTTTTGTGCCGGGTGTGTACTTTTAGATTTAAATCAACAACAAAAGTAAAACATTTCCTACAGATGCGGAGACAAATGGGGATAAAAGCTATGGTTTTACAAACCCGTCATTAACCGTGTTCAATTTATGTTATTCAAGATGCAGCCATATATATCTTCCTGAACTGGAGGTCTTCTCATGTACTTCTCAGATACTTTCCAGGACTCCTCATCACAGGCTAGAAAAAAATCTGTACTCCTTCGACTACATTTGAGGTTCTTTATTATATAGCCCCATTCTACCTTCTCCATCGTCTCTTCTGGGACTCCTCTCACCGCTCATTCAGTACCTCAGCCCAGTGTCTATTGTTGGTTCCTCTTATATAACTCAGGAATCCAGAAAGTCTCACATTAATTTTTTAAATATTCATGACCCCCCCACTACTGTGTGTGTGCAGCCCAGGAAGCCCTTGAGAAATCCAAAAATGAGTTAGAAAGCAAAAGAAGTGCATACCAAATAATATTTTGAGATAATATTTAAACTCTAAATTTTATAGATTTTAAGTGTTACATAAAATCCAAGGAGAGAGAAAATCTGGAGAGGCACCAGATTTTAAAGAGATAAAATCTGGAAAGGCACCAGTTGTCTGGGAAGGCACCGTAGAGGAGATGGAACATAGAGGAGATAAGTATTTGAGAAAACACACATATTAAATAGCCTGATTCAGCCGTTCCACAAGAGATACATATATCAGAACATCATGTTGTATACCATAAATACATATGATTATTACTTGTCAACATATGAGTTGTTTAGAGTTTAGTCAAAGGAAAGCCTAGAAGACATCCAGACAAGAGGAAGCGACATGTATCAAAGAGAACACATGGACTTTGATGTGAGACCTGGATTTGAATCTCAGGACCTCTGTCTTGGTTCTGTTGGACAATTTATTTAATTTCTCTGAGATACAATTTGTTTTCTATAGAAGAAAGTAAAAATGGCAATACCTATGCTATGTGGTTGCTGTAAGGGTTAAATAGGTCACTTTATGTGGTGATTAATGGAAGGTTCCCGTAAATGATATTTTCATTTAACTTTTCCATAAAGGAAGATGCAGAGCCATGGTGGTAATGCTGGTCTGAGCAGTAGGTATATCTTGGGGGCGGGGTGGCGGGGGGAAGCTGCAAAGTTAAGATTAAAAGAGAAAGAAAGAAAAATAAGAAGGCGCATCTTGTGGGGGATGCTATGGGAGACTGTTTGTACATGTTGAGTGAGGCCAGATGATAGGAAATTCTAAGAACTTTAAACTAATATGGTGAAAAATAGGGGCTATTGGAGTGATGTGGTTAAAATAATGCTTGAGGAAGATTGTCTTTCTCTTTCTTTTCCATATCTTCTGGAATCACATCCTCTATTACTGCCCACAGAGAACACTCTAGCCTTCTGCAATATACCACTCATGTGCCTGGATATACAACAAACTTTTTTTTTTTTTTCAAACCAGAAATGACTTTATTACATACAAATGATAAAATTTAGTTGTGAAACTCAAGATTTCTGTAGCGCTTCATTACCAATAGTTCAGATATATTTTAAAAGATCAGAATGATTTTTAAACATATTGATAGCCTAAAATTTAGTAAAATTTAGTAAATTTTAGGCTGCATGATCACATTGAGTACCATGTTCCAGTTAGCCCTGAAATTGGGTTCTGCCAGCTCATAGAGCACTGTCTACTTACAAAATTTGGGAGGATATTTTCTTATTCTTCAGATATTCCCATTATCATACAAATACTATGACGTTCCTCCTCCTTAGCAAAAGGTAAAATTCATGCTTACTATTCTCTCAAGTTTATATCCATTGTAAATAATCTACCTAGTAAATACATTACATGTAGATTAGTTGATGGTTTCCATACTAATTTATTTTCTCTTTATTAAAAAATAACAATTCCTTCTTAATTGTGAATAAGAAGATTAAGATAGAAGCATTCATTGTCTGGTGGAAAACCGGGGAAGTGGAGAAGGGGAAGCACATATTTCCTGAAACCGAC